ATACATACAACCAAAGCTTAAACGTAGTTATCGGTCATGAAGCATAGTTTTCAAACACTTCTGGATAATGTTATTTCATCAAATATTTTAGGAGTGTGAAGCTTTGATTGACAATATCATTGAAATTTAGCTCTATTCCTAAACTGTATTAAACATTAGACACCAAATGAGTTGTTTGGATTTCATATCAGTACAAATTTAGTCCTCCACTAAGTATATGAAGTTAAACTACAATGGCGGCCATTTAGGCGGCCATTTTGAATTCTGGGTAATATATAAAAATTCCTAATAATATGCTGTCACTCTAGAAGTAAAGAGAAAACAAAAACAACTTGTTTTAGTAACAAAATAATGTTAACTACCATTAAATAAATCACCATCACACATTTCCATGAAAAGTCGGAGAATCGCTAAAATACCCCTGTCTCAAAGAATAAGCTGTAAAACATTCAATTAACACGATATTATCATACAAAATAACTTGTTTTGTGCCCAAGTCATCACTCTAGGAGAAACAAGTGTCAAAAAACATCAAAAGTATCAACTTTGGATGTAAATGGAAACATTCGGTGTTCATTTTTATGTAAATTTAAGTACCGAGAAGGCAAAACACGACAAAACAAAATGGCGGCCAAAATGGCGGCCATTTTGATTTTTTTTTCAAAACAAAATTATGTCAAATAATTTCTACATCCTTTAGCAGTACACAGAAGTCAAAATGAAAGGGGTCAGATTGATAGTAAAAAAAACTATTAATGATTAACTTTTATGTGTTGTCGGACAGCAAACCAAATGTGACGAAAATGCTCGGAGACCCCCACCACATATAATGGCCTGTAAAAAAAAACTGATACCACAATCTGAGAGTATTACAGGCCTTTTCATGAGCCCAAGACATCATACTAACTGAAAATAGTCTCAAACAAAATCAGTACTGGGGAGGCTACGAAATCCTATTTCTAGGCACCTTTTGAGATTCTCCTCCTGGACTACTTGTGCATATAACGTTATACGCTCAACATTAAAAATGACTCGCAATAAATGTCAAAAAATCGATTTTCTTCTATGACGTCAAACGACGACAGAGAGGTCATACACGTATAATGATAAGGGGCATAACTCCGTTATGCGTACCACTAGGTCAATGTAACTCTGATCACTTGGAGAGAATTTGTTGTGGATACGGACGCTATATTTTCGTTATTTTATGTTCATGGTGAACCAAACTATTCCAATTCAGAGTTCACCAATGTAAGCGGATGCAGTTTGGTAGTTTCACAATTTACAAGAAAAATGACAACGTATTACATGTGAAAGCACGTAATAGCGATTTGGATGGCCCTATCCCATTTATAAGTTAGTTCTTAGATTCCCATATTCTCCTGTTGGTGTAGATGTAATTTGACTAATTTTGCATCTTTATTACCAGAATACTAGCCATATCTTCAAATGTAATGAAATTGCTGAAAATAGTACAACATTTTAGTTGACGTCATTGCTTGTTTTATGCATTTTGCGACGTCGGAAAAAGACGACATTGGTATGCTGATTAGTATATACCTCCCCTAATTTCCATTAAAGGTCTCGGCTTCTACGTCAGAATTTAACATTCTTTAGACAAAACATAAAATGACTGATTTTTCCATTTAAATAGTGTCCTGAATATATCAACAATTAGACGGTTTGACAGCATATCTTATTGTGAACAACACGCGCACCTGTTTGGCATCAATTTAACGTAAATAAAAATAATATTTCACAACACCCGAATATTTTGTTTGGGATAGGGATTTTGTTTGTTTATGATTATGTCGCTATTTCTCTTCATACGTATGCAATGAAAGATGCAAAAAGATAGCTTTTTATATATGGAACTATATATTAGAATATGGATGTAAGATTTGTCCGAATTAACACATGAGATAGTATATATATTTTTCAACAATTTTCCTATAAATGTAGTTAGAGTTTGATATCCTGTCATCACAATATTATTTAATCGAATATGAATTGATTATATTATCGAAAACAATGATAGAGAATCATAAAACGTTTCCAACAAACGCGCACCTGGCCGATCAATATGCATCATTCTTTTGTCTATAAAACGACACAAAATTATGCAATAAACAAGACAATTCCCTTAAATATGTGTGCATATACATTTCATACCATATATAAATCATTTTCATTAATATTATCAGTTTTACATATAAGGTGGAATTAAATCACTATTCATTAACCTGTTCATATGAAATTGCAATATTAGTCCAAACAAATTGAATATTGTACATTATAGGAACTAAAGTAGTTGCAGTTATGGCTACGTTTGATCTTCTAATACTTGTGAAAGGTTTAGAATATGGTGTATTGCACTAAATATGTCAATTTCTTATGTAAATATGATTCAAACAATCAAAAACTTTCAAAGAATAAAACACCGTAAACCCTATATGCACGTATGATATGATATTGAACAAGGCTAAATGTAGATACTGAAGTCAGTTTCATGAAAAAGTATCTGGGTCCCGATCCACAAAGCGTTCGTAACGTTACGACCTGTCGTAACTTTATAGTTTATCATAAGCTTACGAATGTCGTAGCGCTACGAATGCTTTGTGGATCAGGGCCCTGAACTATACGCAAAATATACACCATAATACTTACAGTGTAATCGGAAGTATTGGGCGATTGTGTTTACTCTTGTTCAACCGACCTTCACCTCAAAGAAATTGCCTAATATGTAGAACAATGTTGACGTATGACATCACTACCGATGACCGATTTCTTACAAAATGGCGGCTTTGCTGACAAGGGTACACAGGATTTTGCGAGGACCCTTCCATTGATTCAGGGATCGTTTGTACATAAATATGAGATGTAAGTAATCAGAATGATTCTGACTATCTGTGTATTGTTATATGTTTTTATCGTTTTCACTATAAGTAAGAGAAAAAGCCAGAAATGCAGATAATTACAGTTGTCGTTCTGCGTGATTTTGCGTCAGTCATGGCGTCACGCTGCATGGAAACTTTGACAATTTCTTATGAATTATCAAATCATTGCATTGTATCTATTTATAATTTCCTATTGCTTGCTACGATACTCTTTCCATGCATATTCCAAAGGTATTGAGCCATTGCAAGCAATGAATAGACGGATGAATGTTGAAAAATTTCAGAAAATGCTACGCAGTGTAAAATCGGAATTTGGCTTTGTTTACATTTCAGACAAGCGCAGTCTTTCAAGCACAGCGTTCGTTTTCACACCCAATATGTTCCGTTTCATTTTATCTAGACAGTTGGTATTGGTGACACAGACCAGTTGTAATTTGATTTTAAAATGTATGGGGTTCTGAATTCAGTGAAGCTGCAAATATTTTAAAGGGTCTACGGTGGAATTTTCAAATGTGAACGAAGCTGAAACCAAACACCCCCGTATAAAAGGCCGCTTCACACTATCCACGATGTAATAGGCGTCTCAATACCGGCCTTCGCGAAACGTGATTTTGTAAACACTATCCAATATGGCGGAAAGCGCTCTACGGCGTTCGTGTAAGTGCATTTTCGATAACATCCCAACCGATTCTAGATTCATCGGCAACGTTTCAGAATTATAATTAGCGATTTCATGTAAAACTGATATCAGTGATCATGAATATGTTATTTTTGAAATTCCATACTCCCAGTAATTATCCGATTTTCACATTTCAAAACATACAGCAAATAATGCTGTGAATCGCGATTTCGTGCTGTGTCAAAAATGGCGACATTTTCGATGAAGCCTATTTTGAAAGGTCATTTTCAGCACTTGAGCTTTGTCTAAAATAATAGTGGATGGTATCAAGAAACAGGAAATTTCCCGCAGAATTCGAAACTGTGAAGTGTATTTGTGTGCGTGGGATATTTTGATTTTTATTGGACTTGAAATTGAGGGTTGAAGGGGAAGGACATATATGTCCCTGTGGCATCAAGGGGGTTAAATAACAAAAACCTGAATAAAACATATCCTAGATATCTTTATCATCCCAAACTGTGTTTCACGGGAGATATTGCTTGTGTGAGATCAACCGATATCTCCTGGGAGATATCGTTCCGACAGTAGATTTTGTACAATGCCCTGGCAATGCTATGACGTCATGAACTTGATGACGTCACAATGCTATGACATCTCAGCACTGCAAGTCTAATGGTAGAACCGTGTTCAGAGATGTACATTTTTTATTGAATAAGGTAGGCATCCAAAGTTAGATTCTTTTGACATCAGGGTCATCAGCATAGCTGACCTACATTGACGAACGTTGACCTTTATGACCCAACGCTGCCGCTGTTACAGGTCATTGGCTCCCACCCTCTGCAAGCCGTCTGCGTTCTGCTGTTTATTTTGTTGACAGTTACATAGACAGATTCTTTAATACAAATGCATAAAATCGGTGATTTACAATGTGATTAGGTTGTCTGACAAAACATCCACTTGCACAGTTTGAGATCGATTGGGTCATTGGATGAAGAGATATTTACAAAAACCGGGTCCACATGCATTTCATGCCAAACTATAGGTGTTAATGTGGCCACCATCTGTTCATATACCAACGGATTTGCGGGTTCTTTTAAGTGCACAGGGTTGTGTATTGTACACTAGGGGTTGTGACAACACTGATTATGACATTCATAAATTCGTAAAACGATGTAAAGTGAACATGAACGACACTCGAAGCGCTTTGGTCGCTTTGTGAAACAGGTTCCAGTTGATGAGGCAAGCCTCGGATATTTGTAACTGTATCAACTCGTGTTAATGTAATTGATATCAGTATACATATATGCCAACTGGAACCTGTTTCACAAAGCGACCAAAGCGCGAGTGTTGTTCATGTTCACTTAACATCGTTTTATGAATTTACGAAAAAAGCAGGTATCAACTGCAAACTGTGATTGCCAGCAGAAAACCCTGTGTTGATGCAATGGATACTTCGAAATTTCGGTTTACCCGCTTTCTTTCAGAAGATCTGTTGATCTGGAACAGACGTCTGTACAGATTCTCCCTTTACATCTGGGTCTTCATCGGACTGGCTTATATATCTCTCATCATCAGCTGTATCTCAAACACCATCGTGGAGAAGGCCCGATCTGTGGAGAGACACACACTCACCAAGGTAGAGGTGAGTATATATGTGTGTCTCATCCACAGGGGCGTGTCACGCTTAGAAACAACATTAGAAAGACATATAGGTATATAGACCCTACCCTAGTACTAAATAAAAGAAAGGGATGTAACGACGGAACCACCCCCTCCTCGATCAAAGTTAGATTTCACCACGTAAACTATTTTTAAGGCCCCGCCGATGGCCTTGACATTCAAGTGATCTGAGCAGATCCGCAGAAACTGAATTGGGCCATCCGATTGGTGGTAAATATAATATACTGTAAGATTTTGACTGTTTGCTAATGGGCGCGAAATATGAACTTTGCAATATTCCTTCTATTTGGGGTGATGTACGGAACAGTAAATTGTTAAGAATAGTTTTAGAGGTTGTAAAAATGCATTCGATATTGATTCCTTTTTAGGAAATTATATTTATAAATATTTAACCTCTAAAATTATTCTTACAAATTTACTGCTCAGGTCACTTAAATGTAAAAGCCATCTATGGCCGACAAGTGAGTATGATTACCGGTGGTTTTGGAGAAAATGCCTGCTTACTGTCGAGGAAATGATTTGTAGATGTTGCAATAAGTTTTAGACCCGTGGAATGCCGCTGCCGATTGAATCTAGCCCTACATAGGTGCTGTCAACGTGGCTGGAATTAGTAAACGAATTTAAAATGTGAGTTTTCGCTGTCTTGGGTGATCCATGATTTTGGCTTGGAATTGCGAAGGTAGCTGTTTTCGGTGAGTCGTGGCGTATAACTTTTGAAATAATGATCCGATTGTGACCATTTATAGCTCATTTTGTAGGCAAATCGTCTCGCTTTCGATCCATAGGGCTCGACGGGGCCTTAAAAATAGTTTACGTGGTGAAATCTAACTTTGATCGAGGAGGGGGTGGTTCCGTCGTTTCATCCCTTTCCTTTTATATAGTACTAGGGTAGGGTCTATATACCTATATGTCTTTCCAACGCTGTTTCTAAGCGTGACACGCCCCTGTGGTCTCATCATCAGCTGTGTCTCAAACACCATCGTGGAGAAGGCCGGATCCGTGGAGAGAAACACACTGACCAAGGTAGAGGTGAGTATATATGTGTGTCTCATGATCAGCTGTGTCTCAAACATCATCATGGAGAAGGCCCGATCTGTGGAGAGACACACTCTGACCAAGGTAGAGGTGAGTATATATGTGTGTCTCATGATCAGCTGTGTCTCAAACATCATCATGGAGAAGGCCCGATCTGTGGACAGACACACACTGACCAAGGTAGAGGTGAGTATATATGTGTGTTTCATCATCAGCTGTATCTCAAACACAGTCGTGGAGAAAGCCCCATCTGTGGAGAGACACACGTTCACTGAACTGGAGGTGAGTATATGCATGTAAAAGGCTTGTTTGAAGTAGTTTTGACATTCATACGCCAATATAAAATCCTTCATCTGGCTTGTCTCGGAATGGCGTCAGGCTGTCACGAAGACCGTCACGAAGCGTACATAAAATCCTCTATATCTTTTCCCAACTGTTTCAGGCAGAGCTGAGACGACTGCGCCAGGAAGTGATGAAGTATCAGCGCCGGTCCCAGGACATCACAACCAACATGGGCGAAGCCAGGTCACCAAGTACACCGTTGGACGTCAAACTAATGCACTATAAACATGTCGGACAAGACAACAACGCCTTTGTGTGTTCTGTAAACTCTGAAACATTACATGTCAAAATCCAGAAAAATACTGACGATGTGAATTAACGTTTATTCATGGACACTGACGAGAGCAAGAGCGTGTAGATGTGGAGTTACATTGTTTGTGAATAGCTCGGTGTTGTTGGGAGATGATACATATAGGACTGCATGCTTCTGTGATTCCGAATGATTCCCTGAATATGTTTCTTAGCGTTCTTTTCATCTCCGAAAAGTTGTGACAGTACGTGGTTTTCAATCTCGATGTGTTTCATACAGGTATTTAAACAACAGTTGGTGTGTCCAGACACAAAACGTAGATTGTGACAAGCCAAAAACGTTCCAACCTCCAGGTACCTTGTATTGGCAAGTCCACACTGGCAATTGACTCCTACCATTAATGCAACCACTGAACTCTTTCCTTTTTTCGTAGTTTTATGCAAGAAAACCAAACCTGTGCTACCTATCCCATCTGCAGGCATTCAGTCTTCAGTCTTTAGTTCGATTTCTACGCTACTTGCACTATTCCAGTGGAATGTCCGGACTCCTTCAGCAATCTGTACAAGGACTCAATATGTTCACGCCACGTTAGGTGAATTGGCTGACAGCGTGTCATCGTGCCCCGAAGGTTGGGCGTGGTTCATAACATTAATCACTAGTTTGTCTGGTCCAGATTCGGCTTATGCGCGATAGGGTAGCCTAGTGATTACAGCGTTCTCTCGTCACGCCGAAGACCCGATTCGATTCCACACATGGGTATAATGTGTGAAGCCCCCCGCCGTGATATTGCTGGAATATTGCTTAAAATAAAGGCGTAAAATTAACCTCACTCTCTCAGTCAGATTCCTCCAGGTAGCTACAACAATAGCTGGACTATGTTCAGCGCGGCGTTTCACAACAGACAATGTCCACAGCCTTTAACTGACGAAGTTCGCTTAATATCATGCTGTTGTGGAATAACAAAAATAGATTTTATTTGTTTGTGTTGAATATGATGACATGGATAGCACTTCGCTATGGACATAGGTACATGGAAGAAGTAAGTCCCTAAAACAGCATTTATACTGTCGTGGAGTACACTCGGCTACAGAAGATGAAAACAGTAAAATAGTGCAGTGTCCAGAAGGGCAAATCATCTATGATGGGAAGAAGGTTTAATGATTATCGATATGAATATTGTATGCATCAGTTTTCCCTACAACAGTTACTAATCGTTTTGCCGTTCTCTATTGTGGGGCGATGGGGTAGCCAAGTGGTTAAAGCGTTCGCTCGTCACGCCGAAGGCCCGGATTCGAGTCCCCACATGGGTACAATTTGTACCCTAGAATTGCCACTCAAGTCGTGCTCATGTCTGTCTTCACCATGTTAAACATGAAACTTTCGACCACATTAAGCCCAACTCACTTACCTCTTACTTACATTTTTTACGCGGACCAACATCTTTTGTACGAAATAGCACCACCATATATGAATTCATTATGATCTGAACCCAAAATTGTCAAATTGTACGTTTGTGAGATTCTCGAGGCCATCATCCTTTCATTAATGTCATGTGCAACTATTTTTCACAGATCGATATTCCGGTGTCTTGTTACTACAGAATGGTGGTGATCATAGATGTGTCCTTGGCCTCTTTCATGTCCTTGACCTCATTCTTGACCTTCACCTCTTTTGTGCCCTTCTCAGTGGTTGTACAACTTTCTCCATCTTCGTCAGTAGACGACTTCTGTAAGTCATAGTTTGATCGTAAATACAAACACGAATTACCATACCCCAACACAACATAAACAGTATGATAGCCTGCATGGAGACGAGATACGTTTTCAGCTTCACCAGAATATTTTTGATGAAACTATGAGTCTGAAATTTATTGACACTATGTATTTCTGTGTGGAAAACAAATTCTTTCTTTTCAACTGCCTCTGTCAAGCTTTTTCCTGGGAGAAAGTTATTTTACCAAATAGCCCTAGATCTCCCCCACAGAATACCAGATGATTGTCCCCTTACCTTGAGAATTTCAATTAAAGCATATTCCAATCTACTCACCCTTGACGATGGCCGTATTTTATCTTCGATGGTGTTGTTGACGTTAACGACTGTGTCTGTCATCTTGCTGAGAAGCATTGCGAGCCATGCGTAACCCATTAGAATCCACACAACCACCAGGACCCGATATACCTGCCGATATTCATTGGCCTGTTGACCTGCAATAATATAAGATGGCGTAACTGGAAGATCAACACCTAGATATACCTCCCGATATTTCTTGGCCTGTTGACCTGCAATAATATAAGATGGCGTAACTGGAAGATCAACACCTAGATATACCTCCCGATATTATTGCTGTTGACCTGCAATAATATAAGATGACGTTACTGGAAGATCCACACCAGGACTCGATATACCTCCCGATATTATTGGCCTGTTGACCTGCAATAATATAAGATGACGTTACTGGAAGATCAACACCTAGAGCCCGATATACCTCCCGATATTTCTTGGCCCGTTGACCTGCAATAATATAAGATGACGTTACTGGAAGATCAACACCTAGAGCCCGATATACCTCCCGATATTTCTTGGCCTGTTGACCTGCAATAATATAAGATGACGTTACTGGAAGATCCACCACCAGGACTCGATATACTTCCCGATATTATTGCTGTTGACCTGCAATAATATAAGATGACGTTACTGGAAGATCAACACCTAGAGCCCGATATACCTCCCGATATTTCTTGGCCTGTTGACCTGCAATAATATAAGATGGCGTGACTGGAAGATCAACACCTAGAGCCCGATATACCTCCCGATATTTCTTGGCCTGTTGACCTGCAATAATATAACATGGCGCCACTGGAAGATCAACCACCAGGACTCGATATACCTCCCGATATTCCTAGGCCCGTTGACCTGCAATAATATAAGATGGCGTTACTGGAAGATCCACCCCTAGGGCCCGTTATACCTCCTGATATCAATTCACTTGTTGACCTGAAATGATATCAAATGGCGTTACAAGAACATACACGATCAGTACCCGACAGATCTTCGTTTGTTGACCTGCAATAACATGCACGAGAGGCACTTTACAATATGTCACGAGTTGATTCACATGTTACGACAAATCTTTGTTGCTTGTATTGGATATATATAAAGTTGTTTCAAGTTTCCTGCCCTGGTATAAGTAGACAGTGGGCAGATATACTAGGTGTGGAATATTCCGTATCCCCGATTAATAATATTCGCATAATAATATTATTATTATTATGTTTATACATTCGATAGTGATAGATATGCATAATACATTAGGAAATGGAAATATCATAAATTGGAAAATCGAATATGAATCTGTCAACGATGCAAACGATTTAATGTGACAGATGTTACACACTATGTTAAATCACATTGTCAAACACAAACCGGATGTCTGCCATGTTGGGTATAAACAATTCCCCTTTAAGTCAAAATGTTCGATAAACACATCAATAAGATGTAAAATACATTTGTGTAGGAGACCACTCACCTGGCACGAAGTCTCCAAAACCCACTGTTGTCATGGTGATGACACAATAATACAGTGACTCCCCGTATGTCCATTTTTCAACCCTTGAAAATACCACTGCTGGTAGAAATAGCCACATTAGAAGTCCAACTAACACGAAAAGGCCGTTCTTAAGGTACATCTCAATTTTCGGATGCTCTGGAAAGCACACTTTCCCCAAGAGTTTCCGCATAGGAGTTTGCAGCTTGACGCCCACGTTGAGGATGAAGGCTCCACACAAGGGTATTCCAACTAGAGCGTAGAACACACAGAAGGCCTGCCCCCCGGGGGTCACCGGGGACATGTTGCCGTACCCTAGAGGGGGGAGATTTCACACAGATCAGGAAAGACGTTAACTTTTGGAAAGTCAGTTACGGAAAGAAGCGTATGTCGACAGATTTTGGAAAGTCAGTTACGGAAATAAGCGTATGTCAACAGATTCTGGGAAGTCAGTTACGGAAATAAGCGTATGTCAACAGATTTTGGAAAGTCAGTTACGGAAATAGGCGTATGTCAACAGATTCTGGAAAGTCAGTTACGGAAAGAAGCGTATGTCAACAGATTTTGGAAAGTCAGTTACGGAAATAGGCGTATGTCAACAGATTCTGGAAAGTCAGTTACGGAAATAGGCGTATGTCAACAGATTCTGGAAAGTCAGTTACGGAAATAGGCGTATGTCAACAGATTCTGGAAAGTCAGTTACGGAAATAGGCGTATGTCAACAGATTCTGGAAAGTCAGTTACGGAAATAGGCGTATGTCAACAGATTCTGGAAAGTCAGTTACGGAAAGAAGCGTATGTCGACAGATTCTGGAAAGTCAGTTACGGAAATAGGCGTATGTCAACAGATTCTGGAAAGTCAGTTACGGAAATAGGCGTATGTCAACAGATTCTGGAAAGTCAGTTACGGAAATAGGCTCAGTATGTTAAAATATTATAGAAACTCAGAAACTGAAATAGGTTCATGTCAACAGATTATGGAAAGTCAGTTCGAAAATAGGCATATTTCATCAGATTATGGAATGTCAGTTAAGGAAATAGGCTTGTGACAACAGATAATTGAAAGCCAGTAACGGGAATAAGCTTATGTTAACAGATCATGGAAAGGGTTTTGTCGTATTTATTTAAGTACCCACGGAAACATTACAGAATGCAGATTTTATCAACCTCATATTCCTGTTCCGTTGATTTGGGCTTAGGAGCCATATTGGCGATAACAGGAGAAGAGAAGGCATACTGCAAGACTTGAAAGCAACGCATTTATATCGGTTTCTCGCTCTGTCGCTTTCCCGTTTCGTGAAGGCGATGTTCCCTCGCAGCTACCACAGTCATTACAAGTACTGAGATTAATCTACTAACCAATGGTGGTGACGATGGTAAGCGAGAACAAAAGGCAACTGAAGAAGTCCCAGTTGTCCTTAGAGGTAGTGTTGGTGGTGACGAGGACGCCTTGCTTATAGGCTGCCATCGCCTTCCTGATGAACAGATCCAACTCAGCAGGAGACAGGCAGCTGTAGTTAGCTGGAAAGAGAACGAAGCATGTGTAAGAAGTACGAACGGGTTAGTCCGTGGGGTGCCGAGTTGGAATTAGTCCAAAGCATACCATGCTTTAAAATGACTTTGGTGGATTGGGTGGTCTGACTCGATGTCATCGTAATTCAAGCATACTTTTACGGATTTGTGATGTGGGGTGATGTGGGATATTTGGTCATGAGGGGGGAGTGATCTTTTTTATCCTAGCTTTTATTTCACTCTAAAGTTGATCAGTCATTGGAGCAGGTCACTAAGACAGACTCCCTCTTGAGTAAAATATAATTGAGGGGTATGGCTGAATCTTACCTCTGTGAAGTTCCGGGCACAGGGGCTTGTAACGCTAAACACTGCCATCAAGGTATGTACTGTCACTAACGGGGTCTTATCACTACATACAAGGAAAGGGATGTGTAACGAGGTCAACACACCAAGTTCGTTTCAGGACGAATTCAGCAATGCTCACTGTATTTATCCCATTTAAAGTATGCACAAGCCAATAGATTTACCTACAAAATAAGACATACAGCACAAAAACCGAAGCAGTACTTTGGGAGCTAGGGTCTTCGGAAGCTCGAAAAAATCGCACTAAAAGGAGTAAGGGAGCTCATTGGCTATAAATAAAATATGTCTTATCAGATCGCTGACTCTTTTCAGTGCGGGGCAGGTTAAGGCCAAGGTCGTCAATGGCGAACGGACAAGACACAATTCTGTTTGCGATGAATTAATGTACGTAAACTCATTATGACAGTAAGGTGTAAGTGTCTCCGAAAGAATGGCGACTAGCGCGCTGACAGGTGCCATCAGTTCAACATGTGTTTGTGCATGTCGTTTGTGTATACTGTGAAATAAACAAGAAAATGGGTGAATACCGCTACAAATTCTGAGCAGGGAAATTTGGCTCGGAATCGAGAAAGCACGATTTTTTTCGAGCTTCCAAAGATCTTAGCTCCCAAAGTACTGCTTCGATGTTTGTGCTGTATGTCTTGTTTTGTAGGTAAATCTATTGGCTTGTGCATACCTTAAATGGGATAAATACAGTGAACGTTGTTAAATTCGGCCTGAAACGAACTTGGTGTGTTGACCTCGTTACACCCCTTTCCTTTTATGTAGTGATAAGACCCCGTTAGAGACAGTACATACCTTGATGGCTGTTTTTAGCGTTACAAGCCCCTGTGGTTCCGGGTTAGAATTGGTCTTCAGCAACACGTGCCTGTCGTAAGAGGAGACTAACGTGTTCTGGTTGTCAGCATCTCTGATTCGGGTGACACATGTCATCGTATCCCAGTTGGGTAGATTCATGCTCATGATGTTGATCACTGGATTCTCTGGTCCTGACTCGCTTATGTACAGACCGCCGTCATATAGCTGCAATATTGCTGCTGGTGGCGTTAAACAACGAAATAACAAACAGTTAATCCTACCACGCCAGTCCATACAGACTGCGGTCATAAAAGTGGAATATTGGGTAGGGCAGCGCTTGGTATCAAATCAATGGGAGCGACCGACCACCCGACCTTCTGCTGTATGTTCATTCAATGATGATTAAGGGATGCCAAACAACTCTATTGTCGATCCTGACCCACAGACCGTAAATGTGTTATGTCTCTTTCAATCGAGTCTGGGCCTGATGTTTCCTGATGACAATACAGATATTGATATAGCGAAAAATGATCAACGCCGGCGGTGTTGGATAACACTTAATGGTCCAAGTCACCGAGTCTCATCGCCTGATCAATTAAGTCGCCAACCAGTACAGGTTGCTGGGGAACTCTCTTACCCAGGAACTCCCAAGGGTTTTACCTTCTATGGCACTCACTGTAGGCTGATACACGGCCTGGGGCCAAATGTATTCATTGTCCTTTGATATACTTGTTGTTCACTTATATAATTGCTGTGTACTGAGACAGTGCTCTAATATATTTCTTGTGCGCAGATATAGTAGTTGTGCTCTGATATGTTCATTGTCAGCTGGTATACTTCTTTTTCGTTGATATAATGCGTGTGTTTTGATATACACATTTTGCGCAGATATACTTATATGCTCATTCACATATTCTAGGCGGATATAGTCGTTGGTCACTAAGAATTCGTGAGTGAATGAGTATTGTTTTGCGCCGCTTTTAGCAATATTCCAGCAATATCACGGCGGGGGACACCACAGATTGGCTACACACATTGTACCCATGTGGGGAATCGAACCCGGGTCTTCGGCGTGACGAACTAACGCTTTAACCACAAGTCTACCCCAACGCCCCAAGAATTCATGACAACCACGTAGTACACTAATACGTACATCAGATAACAGAAACATCAGGTAACAAGTTAAGGGTTCATCAGGTGACATGTAACAAATGCATCACTTAACAGGTAATAGATACATCAGGTAACAGGTAATAGATATACTAGGTAACAGAAACATCAGATAACAGATACTTCAGGTAAGAGACAACAGATACACGAGGTAACAGGTACCAGATACACCAGGTGACAAGTAACAGGCAACCAGGTAGTATCTACCGGGTACTCACACATAAATTCTTTGATGGAGCTGAGCTGGTTGTCCCTGACCTCGGCCTCTTTAGGGTGTTCGATGTTGTGGAACACAAGCGCCCCGAGACACAGGTACACGACCAGGATGACCCCTAGCACACTCGCGTACCGGCACAGCATGTTGAAGTGGAGGATAAACTGCAACAGACACAGTCAGGATTATCAATGTCTCTCAACAACATCGTATACTACTCAAAATATGTTAAGGACAACACGAGTGCACAACACCACCCACCCCTCCCAGACACACTTACACGATCACGATGACTTCCGGCAATGCCATGAACGGCACAACACGTTGACGTGGACGATAACCTTCAACACACTCGAACAGGATCATATGCCACTATAAATGTTACGCTTCTCAACTCCCTTTATACTGCCGTAATTGGTCAGTCGTGCCATGACGGAGAATACCATCCCAGGCTTACTGCAGGAGTTTGAGTAGTATACTTGTAACGTGATGTGTAGTGTTACATAACAACTATCTCCAGCATCGGCTGGGTTTGGATGGAGGCTGCATCTAGAACATGTGTGCACATAATGCATGTCGCATTAACTCAGGGCTCACGAGGATAACATCAAAAGCAGTCTGACCCTCACTAAAACGTGCAGACTTGTCAGCAGCACACAACACTAACTGAGGATCTCATTTCGTCGTGTTTTGGTAGTAGTGCTTATGGTAAATATTTCATTATTAATTATTTTATGAGTTTGAAATCACTGAGTATTATTAGAAACGTAGAAAGTAACACACTGATATTTATAAGAGAACAAAATTCAACTCCCCATGGAATTGTGCTTATACTGTCCTACAATGAGTTCGTAAAATATCGAACTGTTATTTGGGGGAAACCAGTCACAGTTGATTCTATTCGTCTACTTCTAAGAACTGGATATACGTATTTTGTATGTGTTTAAACCCATTGGAGTTTAGCCATAGAGCCATCAGTCTAAACTGTACCCGTGGTGTAGTGGATATAGCGTCAGCCTGGATAGCGGAAGGTTCTGTGGTTCGATCCCCAGGCCGGGGTCATACCAAAGATGTTAAAATTTGGTTGGTGTCTTTCCTGCCTGGCATTTGGCCTCAAGTGGATTAAACAAGGACTGGCCGGCAGTCACACAGACATACACAACTAAGCACATGCCAAATTGCTAATGGATAACGTCTTAATAACCAGATAGGAATTTTGGCTGCCGTTTTGATATTTGCTTACAATTCTGATCATACATTAAAATTTGTAGTTTGTGTTCGGCCTTTTGTTGGTGATAGTTATTCTTGTACCGAGGGACCGCCAGCGGGTTGTGCTCCTAATTCCCTCACCCCAATGTGTAGTTGATCGACATATTGTCCTATAGTCAACATTATGATGTATTATCATAGATAAAGAATATCTTTCCCAGAGATTACAATACTGTGTGCATTTACGATGTCTGCAGACTTCAATCAATTTACAGGGGCTGTGAGAATAGGTGTCTGCGAATTCTTTTGAAATAGGCCTTTACTAGAGGTGGTACGAATGTTAGACATCACGGAATATAGGTCTACCCCCAATATCACCATCTTAATTATTTTTCTATACCTTTTTTGTTTGTTCTTATTATTAACTTAGCAATATTCCAGCTATATGTCTGTAAATAATAGAAACTGGCAGACAGCCCAGTGATTGACATCATGAGCACCGATCTACGACGATATGCCAGGGTTCGAAATACCCCATATATTAGTGTGCCATGGCACGGTAAAATACTGAAATGGCACGGCTAAAAAATGTTCTCGGTGCCCTTTTGACACGCCTGATTTTTCAGAGACATAACTCACATTTGGTCATTTAATCCCCAAAACAATTATTTTTTTCTCCAAATTGAATAATACCATACATATTTGAATGCTCAAAAACCCATTTCTTTATTTAACAATAAATTTCAAATGATCATCATCATTGTCATTTATTCTAAAAACATGTGGGCATACTCAATTTCTGAAAGGCACACCTAAAATATTTGTCTGGTGCCCTAAGGCACACTTAGAAAAAAAAGTATTTCTATCCCTGTATGCATAAGAAAAGTCAGCGGTTTGGACCCCTGAATCATGTTAATCGCCTCTTAGCATGCAACGCTGCTGAAGACGTCTAACCTTGATCTCCACAGGTTCCCTGCACATTAACATCTCACCTTAACACGGTGATGCTCTCGCCTTTCTCCTGACACCCGTAAGAACCAGGGAGACTATATATGTTGTAGAGTATCCCTGTAAGAACCGTCCCCAAGAACACGTTGATTAATACTTCGGCTACTCATTTTCCTTTTGCTGTGTACAGCATTCCTCCTACTCGCCGTGCACTCATTGTCAGATTAACCTAAGTACAACATTACCTCTCGTGTGCCTAAGAAGCATATTGTTACTCGGGCTTAACACGATGAATCATGTGCATACCTTGGTGGTTATATATGTAGAACAACCGAGCCTATGTAACCGTTTTATGTTATCGTAAACCTGGGGTAACCTGCATGGCGTTACAGGTGTGAGGGCGTCTGTTCTATTTACATGCACAGGTGCAGGCGACGGTCAGACTGGTATTGTGTCATCAAGTGCTACTGCCACGAGGAATACTTATGTGGTTATGGATGTAGGTATGGCGTAAGTGTAATAATACTCCGGTGAAGTTCCGGGTGAGAATATGTCTTCAACAACTTGTGCTTGTCACGAGATGGATTAACAGTATTGGGTTATGGCTCAGGTTGATGGACGGCATCGTTTTCCGAATGTATAGATCATGATGTCAAATCTTTATACTGGACGATGTCTATACACGATCGAATCTGGGCCTGACAATCCTGTGATGGAGAGCCCAGCAGTTGGGAAACAGTGACAAATAATCACTGACGCCACCGAGCCTGACCCCCGATCTGTTTGATCGTCTCTTACAATCAGCGTAAGAGGCGACTAACGGGATCAGGTGGTCAGGCTCGCTGACTTGGTTGACCTATGTCATCGTATCCCAATTGCGTAGATCGATGCTCATGTTGCTGGTCACTGGATTGTCTGGTTCAGACACCAGATTATTTATAGACCGCCGCCACTCACTCACTCACTCTTACAACCAGCATGGATTGCTGGGGCCTATTCCAACCCGCGTCTGTGATGAGTGCCACTGGTAGAGCAGGATGCGCCCACCTATCGTCAACACCTGCTGGCATCACTGTGTGATAGTGATTCATAAACACGTGTTCAAGCCGGAATCGTACAATCCACTAGGCTTTCAACAGATTTCCTATGAATATAGAAATGGTTTGACGCTTTGTTTAAGTTGTGGTATACTCCTTTCGTGGTCTTGTGATTGCGCATGCATCATATAAGTGAGCACCACTGATAACCGTAAGGGGATTCTGTACAGACATATAAGTGAGCACCACTGATAACCGTAAGGGGATTCTGTCCACATATAAGTGAGCACCACTGATAACCGTAAGGGGATTCTGTACAGACATATAAGTGAGCACCACTGATAACCGTAAGGGGATTCTGTTCAGACATATAAGTGAGCACCACTGATAACCGTAAAGGATTCTGTACAGACATATACGTAGGCACCACTGATAACCGTAAAGATTCTGTCCAGACAGTATGTCAGCACCATATACGTGATAACCGTAAGGATTCACCACTGATAACCGTAAGGATTCTGTCCAGACATATACGTGAGCACCACTGATAACCGTAAGGGGGATTCTGTCCAGACATATACGTGAGCACCACTGATCAGGGGAACTCACCGATTGATACTTGTACTATACGTGAGCACCATTGATACTTGTAAGGGGATTCTGTCCAGACATATACGTGAGCACCATTGATACTTGTAAGGGGATTCTGTCCAGACATATACGTGAGCACCATTGATATTGATAAGGATTCTGTCCTGTCCAGACATAAGGATTCTGTCCAGACATATACGTGAGCACCATTGATACTTGTAAGGGGATTCTGTCCAGACATATACGTGAGCACCATATACTTGTAAGGGATTCTGTCCAGACATATACGTGAGCACCATTGATACTTGTAAAGGATTCTGTCCAGACATATACGGATAACTTTCTGTCAGACATATTGATAGCACTTCTGTCCAGACATATACGTGAGCACCATTGATACTTGTAAGGATTCTGTCCAGACATATACGTGAGCGCCATTGATACTTGTAAGGGGATTCTGTCCAGACGTATACGTGAGCACCATTGATAACCGTTGTAAGGATTCTGTCCAGACATATACGTGAGCACCATTGATACCTGTAAGGATTCTGTCCAGACATATACGTGAGCACCATTGATGCTTGTAAGGATTCTGTCCAGACATATACGTGAACACCATTGATACTTGTAAGGGGATTCTGTCCAGACGTATACGTGAGCACCATTGATAACTGTAAGGGGATTCTGTCCAGACATGTACGTGAGCACCATTGATACTTAAGGATTCTGTCCAGACATATACGTGAGCACCATTGATACTTGTAAGGATTCTGTCCAGACGTATACGTGAGCACCATTGATACTTGTAAGGGGATTCTGTCCAGACATATACGTGAGCACCATTGATACTTGTAAGGGGATTCTGTCCAGACATATACGTGAGCACCACTGATACTTGTAAGGGGATTCTGTCCAGACATATACGTGAGCACCATTGATACTTGTAAGGATTCTGTCCAGACATATACGTGAGCACCATTGATACCCGTAAGGATTCTGTCCAGACATATACGTGAGCACCATTGATACTTGTAAGGATTCTGTCCAGACGTATACGTGAGCACCACTGATAACCGTAAGGGGATTCTGTCCAGACATATAAGTGAGCACCACTGATAACCGTAAGGGGATTCTGTCCAGACATATACGTGAGCACCATTGATACTTGTAAGGGGATTCTGTCCAGACATATACGTGAGCACCATTGATACCTGTAAGGGGATTCTGTCCAGACATATACGTGAGCACCACTGATACTTGTAAGGGGATTCTGTCCAGACATATACGTGAGCACCATTGATACTTGTAAGGGGATTCTGTCCAGACATATACGTGAGCACCATTGATAACCGTAAGGGGATTCTGTCCAGACATATACG